CTCCCAGGGGGACATGAGGGCTTTGGTATGTCCCATCCATTTGGACTCTACAGCCATCCTGCTGGAGAAGGGGCGTTGTCTTACCTGAACGCCTTTTCTCAGCAGGATGATGTAGAGTCCAAGCCCACCCAGAGGATAGGTCTAGGCAGGGTTATAATAAAGATATAATAAAGAGCTGCAAGGTTAATTCCAACAAAGTTTCTCGCCTAAGTCAAAACTGGGGTCACGCCCAAAGGAAGGGGTGTGGCCGAAGTTTTTACCCAGTCTGCCAGGCAGGAAGGCCGTCATAGAACCCATCCATTTGGACTCTACATCATCCTGCTGAGAAAAGGCGTTCAGGTAAGACAACGCCCCTTCTCCAGCACCAGAGATGGAGAATCCACCAATGGGTTAGCTCTGCCTTCCTGCCCATTAGATTAACTCAGCCAAACTTGCCACGCCTGTCTTGGGATAAGCCACTCCCAGTCTTGACTTGGTCTTCAGCCCAGATGGACATGACAAATTTGGCTCCCGGTCTAAAGGCAGGTAGTAGAGACTAATACATTGGTGGATTCTGTTCTTTTCACACTCACAGCTTTTTCAGCAGCACTGGGATCAGCGCTGGGTGAAATAGTCTGTAGGAGGCTCAGGGGGTGGGTCTTTCCCTTTTCCAGATCTGAGGCTTTTGCTGAGGCTCCAGCTCCCTCCAAAAGGGGAAAGTCCTCGTCAGCTGTTCAGTGCTGGGATCAGCGCTGCAGCTGAAGCCTATCAAGATCTCCCGGGGGTTGGGGATTTCCCCTCCATCACTGAACTGAGAAACCGGCTGGGTTTCTGCTCCGTCAGATCAGTGGCTGCCATCCTTTCGGATCCCTTTCTTGCCAGCTTTCCTCTGCTGCTTCAAGCAGCTGCTGTGCTTCTCATTTCTTCAGACGGGGGATTCAATTGACGTGCCAGAGCCTTACCGTTCTTTCCCTTCACCCTCAAGCGACCGCTGTACTGAACCGAGCAGTTGCCTCGCCGCCGCGCCTGTTTGTCCTGGTCGCTATTTTGGACACCGGGACACGCCGCAGCAGCAGGAGGCACTTCCGTTGTGTTCAATTTTCCCACCATTAGAGTGGAAGTCTTTGTGAGTGACCATCCCTTCACGCCGAACTGTTCTGGTCACCATTTTGGCTGCTGGGACAAACGCGGCAGCCGATCAGACCGAGTAATCTCTGGTGGAGGTTTGAGTCTCCCCAGGGAGGAAGATACAAGGATTGGTCCCTCTTTCTCTTTCTGAAGAAGGGAGAGCCGCATGGCTGCAGAGGGCATTGCCAGCGGTTCATCTCAATCAACCGTTCCCCCATTCCTATTCAAAAAGAAAAACCTATTGCACCGGCCCGCTAACATTTGGGCCCACGCATAATCCTCAAAATTCTAATTCGCATAACTCATAATTAATTAAAAAATTCAAATCCATTATCCTAATTCATTACACAATTCTTCAGAAGCTTCTGCTCAACGCTCTCTGGTGCAACTCATTGCCCTGACCACAATTGTAGCATTATCAGACGATCTACAAGCAAGCACGTTCGTTGCAGCCGTAAAGACCTGACCCCAAAGAGGGGGGGGACAACCAGCCCGCTTCTTCTACCAGTCGGGTGGTCAGGAGAGCAGGACGACTAATTCCTTGCTTTACCTGCTCAGCCTATCTTGCCAACTGATCCCCTGCCAGAGCTCCCTCTCGGTACTGCTGAGATAGCTCACCTCAGGATGGAGGACTCCATTATGTCTCAACCTAAGAACACCGCCTCCCCACCCACCAGCCGCAAAAGGCAGAAATCCTCCAAGCAGGAGGCAGCAGGTAGGATCAAAGCTAAGGCCAAGACCATTTCTGGAAAGAAACCTTCCAAGTTGACAGAGAAACAGGCTAGCAGAAGGCACCAGGCTTTGGAAAAAGAATTCTTCAAAGTGCAGAAGCAGGCCAGGGCAAAGGCGGAGCAAACAGATGACATGCTCTTCGATCTCCCTTTGGGGCTCTCTTCTTCTACTCAAGGGGTCTGGTTCCTGGAGGGGAACCCTCCTCCTCCTGGATGGATCAGGTCCAATCAATCCAACAACCATCACTGTCACCACAGGTCACATTCGATCCCAGAGGCCACCTTTACCCCACAGCAGCAGGGTTCAGGAGGGCTGAGCCCGAGGGATCGCCTTCTGAGGATCCGCTCCAAAAGCAGTCTCATGCGATAGGCCATTCGACACCTCCTGGAGATAAAGGCCATAGAACAGGTGCCGGACAACTGGGGCGAGGATTCTACTCCATCCTCTTCGTGGTTCCCAAAGTCTCGGGGGGATGGAGGGCGATTCTAAACCTCAAAGGTCTGAATCACCATATCACATATCGAAAGTTCAAGATGCAAACCCTTCACTCCATCTTGGGCAGCTCCACCCGACTCCTACACCTGGGTGCTGTCATAGACACACTCAGTTGTCAGGTCTACCCGTCACAGGAGCGTTGGGACAGCATCTGGACCCTGGCCCTCAATGTTTGCAGGGAACAAATAGTGCCACTGGTCCTGCTTTCCCAGCTCCTGGGAAAGATGGTCTCATGCATTGCAATAGTCCCTTGGGCCAGACTGCATTCCAAGGACCTCCAATGGTTCCTTCCAAAGGCTGGGCATCAGCTCTTTCAAACCAAGGGGTAAGGGTCCCCCCCAAACCCTGCGGTCTCTCAGTTGGTGGTCCTCGTCAGCAATAGCCAGAGGGTCACACTTCAAGGAACCCTCCCGGCTCATGCTTACGATGGACATCAGTCTGTTTGGCTGAGGAGCACACCTGCAGTCTCAGTTGGCCCAGGGACAATGGTCCCACGCAGATCTGAAACACAATATCAATTGGTTGGAGCTCAGAGCCATACACCTGGCCCTCCGCCACTTCCGCAACAGGGTGGTGAGGCAATATGTACTAGTCCTCATGGACAACATGACAGCAAAGGCCCATGTGAACCGGCAAGAGTCCTCATGACCAAGGCCCAGGCATTGGGCTCCTGGGCAGAGACCAACCTGGCCTCGCTCAGGGCCGAACACATCTCGGGGGAGGCAAACCGACAAGCGGATTTTCTCAGCAGGTTGACCATAGACCATTCGGAATGGTGCTTGCATCCGGACATCTTTGCGGAAATAGCGCAGCGGTTCGGACAACCAGTCATAGACTTGTTCGCTTCACTGGCCAATTCCCAATTTCCGAGGTTCTTCTCCCGGTTTCCATCCCCAGGGGCAGAGGGAACGGACACTCTCAGATGCCCATGGCCGGGGGAACTGCTTTACGCATTTTCCCCCACTGATTCTGGCAACCATCCACAAGATGTTGCAGGAACAGGCGGAGGTCATTTGTATTGGCCACGAAGACCGTGGTTCGCCGACCTAGTGAATCTCTCCAGCTCCTCTCCATGGAGGATTCCCCCAGACAGCTTGTCTCTCAGCCAGGGAGTTCTACAACACCCAGAACCCCAGTGGCTGCAGTTAGCTGCCTGGCATTTGAATGCCGGATCCTGAGCAGTGAATCATACCCCACAAGAGTAATTTCCAGGATTCAGGCCTCCCGCCAACAAATTGCATCTATGACTCCACATGGAGGAATTTTTGCAATTGGTGCGAGAGGTGGCTACTAGACGTCTCGGACCTGACAATCCCGAGAATCCTGGAATATTTGCTCGAGGGCCTAGATGGGTTTAGCGCCTAACATCATCCGCAGGCAGGTTGCAGCCCTGTCCACCTTACTCACCTGTGCCAATTCAGTGCCTTTGACACAGCATCCCAGGATACGCTCCTTTCTCAAGGGTGCCACCAACACTAAACCATCCGTAGTACATAAGTACCCCTCCTGGGAACTGCCACGAGTCCTGTGGGCCCTCACCAAATCACCGTTTGAGCCCATCAGCTCTTGCACCCTGAGGTCTCTGTCCCTCAAGGTCACTTTCCTGGTCACTATCACATCAGCCAGGCGCATCTCTGAGCTCACTGCAATGTTGGTCACCTTTCACCAAAATCGGGTGGTTCTCCGATTGGACCCTACCTTCATCCCTAAGGTCAACACCCTTTTTCATAGGGCCCAAGAAATCGTTTTTCCAGATTTCTGCCCTAATCCGTCTCATGCCTTAGAACAGCAGTGGCACACACTGGACGTTCGCAGGGCGTTACGCTACTATATCAAGCGAATGGCACCCTTCCGCAAATCTGAAGCCCTCTTTGTTTCCTTTCACCATGCCTCTAGCGGGCAGAAGGTGTCCGCTTCAACCAGAGGCAGGTGGATGCGGAGGCACATGGGTCACTTTCCCCACCAGTCCCACGTCACGGCACATTCTACTCACAGTGCTGTGACCTCCGCAGCATGGGTCACACAGACCTCTATTGAGGTCTGCAGGGCGGTGACAGGGTCATCACCCTCCCCATTCGTACAGCATTATAAGATAGACCGATTTGCATCTGTGGACGCTTCCTTTGGAAGGATGGGCCTTCAACAGGTGGCTACTGGGGACATGGCTAGCGCCCCCGCTGTTTCCCCCCCATTGGGACAGTGAGGCTTTGGTATGTCCCATTGGTGGATTCTCCATCTCTGGTGCTGGAGAAGGGGTGTTGTCTTACCTGAACGCTTTTTCTCAAGCACGGAGATGGAGAATCCACTCCCACTCTTATTGTCAGTTAGGCTGTATTAGGGGTCCGGGAGCCAACACGTTGGACTGTTGTCAGCTGCTTTCGCCTTTATCAAGACTGAGAGTGGCTTATCCCAAGACAGGTGTGGCAAGTTTGGCTGACTTGGTCTAATGGGCAGGAAGGCAAAGCCAACCCATTGGTGGATTCTCCATCTCCATGCTGAGAAAAGGTGTTCAAGTAAGACAACGCCCCTTTCACTGTTAAAAAGAGAATTTTACAAGATAATGTTTCTACTATCGTAAAAAAAATTTATATCTAGCATGCAATTTGTCTCTAAATTAAAATTGTAATAAAGTTTTGCCAAAACAATTTTGCCAAATGTTTTGCCAGCTGACTTAATGGAATTGGATATGGCAATGGAGCCAGACCGAAAAGCAGCTGTCAGTCATTGGCAGCAACAGTCGTACCTAGATTCTGGTATCCATTCTGGTGCCACAACCACAGCTCCCTCTCTGAGTGGCAAGGGAAACACTGAAGAGGAAGATGTTGATACCACCCAAGTTCTATATGAATGGGAACAAGGATTCTCTCAGTCTTTCACTCAGGATCAGGTAGCTGGTAAGTAAAATTCTGTGATTATATTAATCACTCAAATGCATATCAGTAGATTAAAAAGAGCTTATTCTTGTTCCAGATATTGATGGACAATATGCTATGACTCGAGCACAGAGAGTGCGTGCTGCCATGTTCCCAGAAACATTGGATGAAGGCATGCAAATCCCATCAACACAGTTTGATGCTGCACATCCAACAAATGTACAACGACTTGCCGAACCTTCCCAGATGTTAAAACATGCTGTGGTTAATTTGATAAACTACCAAGATGATGCAGAGCTTGCAACTCGTGCCATCCCAGAATTGACTAAATTGTTAAATGATGAGGACCAGGTATGTGCACATTGATTCAGCTTATGTTTATTGTGATTGCTAAGAGGCATCACTTAGTGGACTTACGTTTGGATTTTGAAAATACTAAATTTCAATGCATTTATTAGGTTGTGGTGAACAAAGCAGCAGTTATGGTTCATCAGTTGTCCAAAAAAGAAGCTTCTCGTCATGCTATCATGCGTTCTCCACAAATGGTTTCTGCAATTGTGCGTACTATGCAGAATACAAATGATGTAGAAACAGCCCGTTGTACTGCAGGTACATTACATAACTTATCTCATCATCGTGAAGGCTTACTGGCAATCTTCAAATCGGGAGGTATTCCTGCTCTGGTTAAAATGCTCGGGTATGTAAATTAATTAATTTGATGTATGTATGCACTATATGTTGGCTTTGGGTGGGATATTTGTTAATTTGACTTTTCTCTATAGGTCTCCAGTGGATTCTGTGCTTTTCTATGCGATTACTACTCTGCACAATCTTCTGTTGCATCAGGAAGGTGCTAAAATGGCTGTCCGTCTAGCTGGAGGTTTACAGAAAATGGTTGCCTTGCTCAACAAGACAAATGTTAAGTTTCTGGCAATTACAACAGATTGTCTTCAGATTCTTGCATATGGTAATCAAGAAAGCAAGGTAATACTAAATTATATTCTGCAGTGAATAAGTAGTAAATTGGGAAATTATGAGACACATATAAAATATTTTACTAAAATAATCCCATTCTCTGTTCTTATGTATATGATTTGAAGTTCAAGAATAGTTACCTTCATGTCAGTAATAAAACACTAGTTTCACAAGCAAATGACCTCAACCTCATGCATACATAATATCATTAAATAGGATTAGAAAGAATTAACTGTCATTGGAGATTAGCCAATGGTCTATAATATAAAATATGTATTTATTATATATATACCACCTGTATGAGATTCCAGGAGAAAATGCAGTTTTCTACTTTAGAATGTACAGATATGCTGACAGCAGGAGAGCAGGAAGAAATTGTAGTTCTATCTTTAAAAAGGTTATACTGTTCTTTTACTAAACCTTTTTTTTTTTTTTTTGGCAGCTAATTATTTTGGCAAGTGGTGGACCCCAGGCTCTAGTAAACATAATGAGGACCTACACCTATGAGAAATTATTGTGGACCACAAGTAGAGTCCTGAAAGTGCTATCAGTCTGTTCTAGTAACAAACCAGCAATTGTGGAAGCTGGTAAGTGTTTCAGTTTCATTAAATCAGGACTGCTTTTGTTTTGGACTTAATGCAAAAATTACTAAAAATTATCTTTGCAGGGAATACGTAATAAAATGACTATACTGTATAGGAAATATTCTAAACTGGGTGGAATGTATCAATAACAAAAGGTATTTTTAACAAAAATATTGTCAGTTAAGTAAACTAAAAACTATTGATTTAGCAGATGTTTTCCCCCCCAAAATTTTTTTTGAAATTTTAATGGCTGTTAAAAGGTATATAGTACATTTTTGGTGTTACTATTGCAGTTTTTGTTCTTAACATTTTTAATAATTTTGATCTGTCCAAATATTTGGGCTTTTGGAAAGACTAGGCTCATAATTTTGTAACTTCTTTTACCATGATCCAGTTAATGGATTAGTAGTTTGTCAAACGTGGAATGTGTTATAGTCAGAAGTGCATGTCTTATGATGAGAACCTATTGCAAGTATACATGTGGAACTGTGAATCAAATTAGATCTTGATGCTAATAACTGCTCTATACCAGGGCTTTTCAACCATCTGGCAGATGGTACGTGACCATCCTAGAAAAGTGGTAGCAGAGGAGGGGAATGAGCTGAACTAGTGGCAGCATCGCACAAGCCTGAATGAGAGATGGCTAGAGCTGCAGAGCTATCCGGGCTCAGCGGAAGCGCCAGGATCAGTGCTGCTTTCCAGCTAATCGGCGCTTCTTCGGGGCTGTCAGGGCTCAATGGAAGTGCCAGGATCAGTGCCAGGCTCCAGCTGGAGCTCGGCGCTGATCCTGATGCTTCTGCTGAGCCCTGAAGAAGCGCCAATCAGCTGGAAAGCAGCACTGATCCTGGCACTTCTGCTGACCCCAGAAGAAGCGCCAATCAGCTGGAATGTTGCAGCATCTTCAAGATCTTGTGATTTTACATTCAGATGCTTGGCAGCTGATTCATATTTATGATGGTCACAGTGTCCCAGGGTCATGTGAAGTGACCAACCTGCTGCAACCACCCAGCAGACGGGGGGGGGAGATAAAAACCAAACAACCCCCTCCCCATTCCCTCTGCCGATCCTCAACAGAAATGCTTACAACAATGAAAACCTCAGACAGGAGGAAGAGCGCGGTCAGGCAGGCAGGCAGGTGTTTTGCTCAGCTGTAGCTTGGGGGGCACTTTTTTCAGTGCCATTGTAACTTCAAACAATCACTAAGCGAACTGTTGTTAAGTTGAGGACTATCTGTACTTTATCACTTTTTCGTTTTTTGGGGGGTCATCACGGTTTTGACATCTTCCTAGGCGTCTGGTGGTACTCGGATGTTGCCATATCCTAAAAGTGGTACAGTGGGTGAAAAGGTTGAAAAGCCCTGCTCTATACAGTTCCTTGAACATTGTATAGCTGATATGCTTTAATTTCATCATGGTTACATGGATACAGACATGACAGTCTTGCAGTGAAGTAAGCACATTAACAATATATTCTTCATAATGAGAGATTGAAATATTGATAGTAAATTCTAATTGATCTTTAGGTGGAATGCAAGCCTTGGGACTCCATCTTACAGATCCAAGCCAACGTCTTGTTCAGAATTGTCTCTGGACTCTTAGAAATCTCTCAGATGCTGCAACTAAGCAAGTAAGGGTTGGGAACTTTGAAACATTATTAATATTTTATTATAAACTGGTCTTGGTATTTAAAATGTATTTTTATTACATTAGTTGATATAATACTGTTATTGTGGTACTGCTCAAAACTGAAAGTATGATCTTTTTAAAAAATCATTTGAATTAATGGATAGTTCTAGGGAACAACTTAATGATAAATTCAGGCAGAATGCTAAATAAGGTTTTCATCATTTGTAATTTCTTGTTCTCATGTTGAACCAGATTAATTAATTAAAAGACAAATTATAATTTTATGGATTTGATTGAAATTGCAAGACAAAAACATAAATGCTTAGTTATTCATAATAAAAAGATATCTTTGGGCTCAAGCCACATGGTTATAATATACCATCAGAACTTCATCCACATTGTACAATTGAGACTTGGGTATAAAGATATTAAATTATTAATATAAGGTTTTTGGTTTTGTTAAGTGAAAAGCGTAACTATCTGATTAATTTGAAATGTGTGAGATCAGGGGAAACACATATATCAGTTTCCAGCTCTGTGATCACTTTATTATTTGGAATCTATATGCCCTTATATACAATTTCCATAATGATGTAAGCATTTCCGTAATATATATAAATTAGGTCTAAATTTACCTTTATGTTCTAAGTATTCCTCAATAATTCCTTATTCTTATACTAACCTCAAAGTACAAGAAAGCCCTTAATGTGCCTTTATTTAGAAAACATAATGAGGACTTATACCTATAAGAAATTATTGTTCCTTGAAGGACTGTTAACTGTGATGCTAATAAAACAAAAAAGCTATGTTCTTGTTGGAAGCCACAGGTGAGAGTATCTTTACCAAAATACCAATAATCTAGGGTAGGTCAAACAAATCTGGAGTGTGGTAGAGAGTATACAGGTAGTCCTTGCTGTATGACCAATTGCTTAACAACTGTTCAAATTATGACAAACTTCAAAAAAGGTACTCCACAAAGTTACCACTACCAGTCTCACAGTCATGTGATTGCATTTTGGGTGCTTGGCAACTGGCTTACATTTACAATCAGTTTAATCATCCTGCAGACACATGACTGTGATTTCCCATGTTTTTTGCCATTTTTGAGCAGAAAATAGCAACAAACATCCATTGGATATGCTGATACATTTATTAACCATGTAATTCATTTAATAACCATGGCAATGAGACTTTATGATCATGTGATGACCCATTTAACAACCACTATAACTTAGAACCAAAATTCCACACTTAATTGTGTTCATAAGTCAAGGACTATTTATAATTGCATATATAATAGCATATGATCTTCCAGAAAGGTTGATATTAAATACACCTCTTCTTACAGGAAGGCATGGAAGGTCTTTTGGGAACACTTGTGCAGCTTTTAGGATCAGATGATATCAATGTTGTGACTTGTGCTGCTGGCATCCTTTCTAATCTTACTTGCAATAACTACAAGAATAAAATGATGGTGTGCCAAGTTGGTGGAATTGAAGCCCTTGTACGCACAGTTCTCCGTGCTGGTGACAGGGAAGACATCACTGAGCCAGCTATCTGTGCCCTCCGCCATCTCACCAGTCGGCATCAGGAAGCTGAAATGGCCCAAAATGCAGTGCGCCTTCATTATGGTCTACCAGTGGTGGTTAAACTTCTGCATCCACCATCCCACTGGCCTCTTATAAAGGTAAGATGATTTGGTAATGGAACTGTCATTATTATCTTAGATTTGAATTGGGGAGGATGAAGTGCACAAAATCCTAGAAGGCTTCTAAAAACATCTTATTAAAAGAATGCAATGAATTAAAATAACTTTTAAAGGTTTGAGTTGTGGAGCTAAATTCCGTAATACTGTGTATCATGTCATTTCTTTCTAATTGCTTTCCTTACATTTACAGGCTACTGTTGGCTTGATTCGTAATCTTGCTCTCTGTCCAGCAAATCATGCTCCATTGCGCGAACAAGGGGCAATACCAAGATTAGTGCAGCTACTAGTTAGAGCACATCAAGATACTCAACGTCGAACTTCAATGGGGGGTACACAGCAGCAGTTTGTGGTATGTGATTCTTGAGGCAGAATGTTATTAATTAGTAATGCAGGGATGGCAGGGTAGAAAAGATCTCAAATTCTATTTACTTTAGTCAGCCAAGTATTTTTTCCCCAACCCTGGTTATTGATCCATTTGTTACAAATTAGTATTTCATGAAGTAAACTTTAATACAGGTGTCTTCAAACCTGGCTAAGGAATTCTGGGAGTTGAAGTCCACAAGTCATAAAAGGGCCAAGTTTGAAGATCCCTGCTTTAGTATGTAAATAAAAAAATCTGTTACATGTAAAGCAGCTAAATCAATCAGGTGATTGCCATTAATGCCCTTCTTTGTAGCTTTCCTACAAAGTCAAAAGGGAAGTGGCAGGAAGTCGCAAAGGTGAAACCTTTATTTAAAAGTACTGATGTGATTTGCTTAACTGAGAATGGAAGTGCTGGAATTTCCATTGCTAAGCAGTGTGGTCATGTGACATTGCTGTGTACAACTGCATCACTTAATGATAGAAATCCTGGTCCCAATTTTCATTGTTAAGTGAGGTCTACCTATCAGAATGACTTGCTTTATGATATGAGTAGCTATATAAATTTTAAAAAATAAATGTCATGTTATAAATACTGTAAAATCTAAGGGCTTGAGGCTTAGTACTCATTCCCATGTACTGTGTAAGATTTTTAAAATTATTTGGGTCATGATAATCTTAGATCACAATATCCTCAATGCATTTGATATCTCAGTAGGTGGGTGGGGTTTATAAGATGTCTATCCATCTGTTTCTAGTAAGCAGACAAGAAACTGGGGCTTTAAGTACCTAGGCTACAGAAATTCAGATGACCATCAGGTGACAGCAAAGAGAAAATATTTTGTTGTTATTGGGTACAGTTTTTCAGACTTTGTACAATAACGCTACCAAAATTCATAAAATGATTTTGTGCAATTGGTTTATGCTGTTAATGTGTGAAATTGTGTTCTGGCATGATCTTCATAATCTCTGTGCTGTAATAAATATGTATACCCATTAGAATAATTTTGATATGTATTGTAGCCCTTAAAAACATTGTTGTTATCAAATTTTGTTTTTTCATGCTTTAACTACAGTCTTACAGATTTGATAACTCAGTGCTTATTGCAAATTATTGCAAATGTAAAATTAAAACTAGTTCAGCTGGTTTCCTTTTCAGAACTTGATCTCATAAGAGTTAAACTAATAACTTTTACTTGTTAAAGTATTGGTAAACTGTTAATATTAATTCTCTATAGGCAACCAAAAACATTTAACCAGTAAAGTTCAGTAAAGATATAGTCATGATGAGGATGAAGTTATTCCAAAGATTTGTACCCAGAGCATTGTAGGTTCCAGATGATTTAAGTTCATTGCAACTGAATTCACAAGTTGTGTTGCAATGTGGAAAAAAACATCGATGTTTATTGGCTTAATGGATTATATCAGATAGAACCCCTGGGCTCTCTGTGAGGCCCAAAGCCATGTGCACATCTCCAAATTCCCCCAAATAAGGTAATGAAAAATTTGGATGACTTATCTTATTTGTTTTGGGAATAACAAGCTAAAAGACAGAATATTTATTAGATCTTGCAAATTCAATAATGTCATTAAACCATTAATAAATTCAGCTGATTTTTCCTCTTAAGGTTTTTAAGTAGAAAAATCAACCCCTCAACATTTCTGTCAACTCAGAGACTTCCCTTTTTGTCTCTTAATTGTCCTCCTCCCAAATGTGATAGACGGGAATTCTGAACAGGAATCCCTTACCCATTGCTGTTGCAGTGTTGTTAGGTATGTCCCTTGAAACCTTATAAAGGCAAAAACATGTGACTAACCAGGAAACCTATCTGATAATTAAATGTATGAGAGCAGCTGAGTAAGTGAAAATGTTTATCTGATGAGGAAGAACGTTAATGTTGTGATGTCAATAGTGATTAACCATTCTTGGCTTATGAATATTAAGTCTACTATGTTTTTGTACAGGAGGGTGTGCGTATGGAGGAAATAGTTGAGGGCTGCACTGGAGCTCTTCATATCCTAGCTAGAGATGTTCACAATCGGATTGTAATTAGGGGTCTAAACACCATTCCACTCTTTGTGCAGGTAAGTAAAATATTATGACAGATATTAAAACTAGATACGATCTGATGAAAGTACATTGCATGTTTTTTTTAAAACCTGGTCTGAGTTCAGAGATTGGTAGTCAATACATAAGTTGGTATTCCTTGTAAAATAATTTGAAAATATGCTTGAAATCTCCAGTGGAAATAGGTTCTCAGTAGAGTTTCCTAAGGAAACATAGATAGTCCTTGACTTATGACCATCATTGAACCTGCAATTTTGGTCAAAAGTCACGATGGTCATTAAATGGATCTCCATGTAATTGTGCCCTATTTTATCCTTTCTGCAGCAGTTGTTAAGTGAACCCATTGTTCGCTGTAGGGTGGTTTTGCCAGAAACCAGTAAATACTGGTTTCCAGCAAAAACATTAATTGCAGTCACATGACAGGGAGGTGCTGCAAATAACTGCAAATTCAGGCTGTTTGCTAAGCACTCAAATGCACTCATGTGATGGGACAGCAATTAGGACTTCACATTTTAAGTAGTTTTTGGGGGTCCCCCATAATTTCAAGCAGCCATAAGTGACCAGTTATAAGTCAGGACTACCTGCAGGGGATGCATTATTTATTTGCTCCATTGCAACTATAGTGTAGCTGTAATATTCAGCGTGAAGGTTCCTACCACAACTTGGATTCCTGATAATAGCCAGACATCGAGTCCTAGTTACTAATAATTTGTGTTTTAAAAACACCCCCAAATTTATTATTTTTCTTCCTACTGCTAGTTGCTATATTCCCCTATTGAGAACATCCAGAGAGTAGCTGCAGGTGTACTATGTGAATTGGCTCAAGACAAAGAAGCAGCTGAGGCAATTGAAGCAGAGGGAGCTACAGCACCATTAACAGAACTACTACATTCTAGAAACGAGGGTGTGGGTAAGTGAAATAGATAGGGATTCACTTTGCTTTGATTTTATGTTTCTCTACTAACATTCTTTTTTCCTTGGACAGCAACATATGCAGCTGCAGTATTATTCAGAATGTCTGAAGATAAACCCCAGGATTATAAGAAACGTCTGTCAGTGGAACTGACCAGTTCTCTTTTTAGGACTGAACCAATGGCTTGGAATGAGGTGGGTTAGAGTGCTAATTTTTCTCCATCTGACTTTCTTCCTATTCATAGAATTCTCTTTGAATTTCATACTAAGTTTCAAATTAAACATTTTAATAGAATAGAACAGAACAGATTCTGAATAGAATAAAATAGAACCTTGGAGGTCTTCTAGTCTATCCCCCTGCTCAAGCAGAACCTATACCATCTCAGACAAGCAATTGTCTAGCCTCTTTTTTAAAATCTCGAGTGATGGAGCGCTCGTGATTTCTGGGAGCAAACTATTACACTGGTTAATTTTCCTCACTGTCAGGAAGTGACCCCCTCTTTGTGGTAGCCCCTCAAATACTGGAATACTGCTATCATGTCTCCCAGTGTCGTCTTTTCTTTAGACTAGCCAAATCCAAATATTACAGATAAACAGCAAACTATTAATCGGGATTTAGATTGAATTCTTAGTACTTATTTTCATCTGTCTTTGGCCTATTTGCCAGCTATTACTTTATATTCTGTGTGGATTAATCTTCAGTGCAAAGTTAAATCACTGGAATACTTTTGCAAATTGATGTGCCTATAAAAATTTTATACAAGAAAGCAATCCATCCAATATTTAACCTTAACAGTATGACAAATATGACAGGAACAATTTTTCGTGCGAAAAATAATGTAAAACTTTTTTTAACAAAGTATTTGGCTTCATTATTCTAAGACTGTGTGAAAAGTAACTGGAACTGTCCATTCTATGCCTACATAGAAATAACTTATATTTCTTGAAATTATGGACCTGTAAACCAGTTTATAAAACTAAGATACTTTTAGTTCAGATGCCATTTTTCATATCTTTACAGAGTGCTGATTTGGGACTTGACATTGGTGCTCAAGGAGAACCTCTTGGCTATCGCCCAGATGGTATGTATCAATTGTGTAGCTCACTTGACTCAATCAAAACATTGAATGTGAACTAGCTGATCTTATTATAATTAACTTAGTTATTTGTATTGTTTGATGAAACAATGATAAAAGCTAATTTTTATCAGTCAGTGGGGAAGCCAGTAGGATGTCACATGACTGCAACTTGCAACATCCTGCTGTCTTCTCTATTAATTTTTGCTTGTCAGAAGCAAAACGGAAATCGAATGGAAATCACAAATTGTAATCACTTGACCATGGGGTGCTGCAACCATCATAATTGTGCGACAATTGTCAACTACAAGCACTAGCCATAAGTTTCCTTTTTTATTGCTGTTTTATCTTTGAACAATCTTTGAACAAATAGTCACTAATTGATGACTGTACAACATATATTGAAACCTTAGTACTTCACCAAGGCAATGTTAGCTGTTTGTATTCTAATATGTGAAGAGTACAGATTTATTTATATCAGCAGCATATTTTTAAACATGTTAGTTTCACAAATGTTGAAGAACAAGCCATACACTTATACCTTAAATACAGTCTGTATTTAAGTCTGTATTTAAAGGTTTGTGTACTAGGTTTACAGCAGTATGCAGACCAATGGCTTGGCTGAAATTTGTTTATGCTTCTGATAGTAGCGTGCTTTATCCATGTAAATCTGGTCTAGAAAATGACCAGTGTGACTAGGTTATGGAAGTCACAGTCTGATACCTGGAACTTCTGTTGCATCTAACATATTGACATGCTTTCCCCCTCCTTCTCCCTCTGTCACCTTAACTTTTTTAGATCCTAGCTATCGTTCTTTCCACTCTGGAGGATATGGTCAGGATACCTTGGGTATGGACCCAATGATGGAACATGAAATGGGTGGCCATCACCCTGGTGCTGATTACCCAGTTGATGGACTACCAGATCTAGGACATGCCCAGGACCTTATGGATGGACTCCCTCCAGGTGACAGTAATCAGTTGGCCTGGTTTGATACTGATCTGTAAATCATCCTTTTAGGTAAGAAATTGTATCTACAATCTGAGAACTTGGCTGGCGGGGAGGAACTGCTTTGGGCTGGTTCATATTGATCAGAAATAAGTATCAAATTTGAGATATAAACATTATTAACATGAATACATTATGCTGCAAATTTGGTGCAATTTTTAACATGAGTATTCATAATAATTATTCTAACTTTTGTTTTCTTTTACACAGCTGTATTTTCTGATCTCGCATTGTGATTGGCCTGTAGAATTGCTGAGAGTGCTCGTGGGGTGGGCTGGTTATCTCAGAAAGTGCCTGACACACTAACCAAGCTGAGTTTCCTATGGGAACAACTGAAGTAAACTTTTTGTTCTGGTTCTTCTGGTCAAGGAGTAACAAATGAATTTGGGGAGTGACTCATGAAATAGAAGAATGCACAAGAATGAATCACAAAATGAAATTTATCAAACTCTAGCTTTGCTTGTTTAAAACTTTTTTTAATTTTTAAATAACTGTAATGGTACTGATCTTGCTTGCTTTCATAGTAGTTTTCTCTTTTGCAGTAATTGTAGGGTTTTTAAGTCTCTGTGTTTAAGTTATAGTGAACATGCTACAGCAATTTCTGATTTTTAAGGATTGAGTAATGGTGTAGAACACTAATTCATAATCACTCTGTATTCGGAAAAATGTAACATTGTAGCCCTTTTGTATAAAAAAGTTAGACAAATAGAAATGGTCCAATTAGTTTCCTTTTTACTATGCTTAAAATAAGCAGGTGGATCTATTTCCTGTTTTTGATCAAAAACTTTATCTGGAAATGCTGGATAGAGGCCAATAAAAACTGTTGTATGGAACCTTGTATTGGACAGTTTACCAGTTGCCTTTTATCCAATATTATAGCCTGCTGTGATAACAGATGCTTCATGAAAACAGTTATACAGATGGTTCAAAATTAAAGTAAACTTTTAATTCATTTTGTCGTGTGAAAAAGTTATTTCAGTCATGTGCACTACAATCCGGTGAAGTGCAAATTCATATATTTTTGCCCTAATGATACTAGGATTTGCTGTCAAACAACATTCAAGGAATACTTCACACCTACAGATTAATTCCATTCACTCAAGTTTTCTCATTAGAACATAATATTGAATAAATATTTAACATGATAGGAGTGTGCAGTTCTTCATTGTTATAATTTTATGATCAAATCATATAATTTAGATAAGGTGGAGGGATTGTAGTCTTCTATTTATTTGATGTTTCTGCCTCCTTGAAAATACTGCCGAGCAAACATGTATTCACAGTATAAAGGAAAATCCTTAAAATAAACACTTTGACATGAAATGTCTTTTCTACTTATATACAAATAAACAGCATTGGGCCAAAAAGATAGTTATGGAGAAATGGGAGGTAATGCTATAATAGAAGTATTCTTTTCAGGGCCATTCAAGAAAAATAGGCTTTTCCATTCTTTTTTTAAGCAGAGATTACCTAGCAGATATAGAATAGGTTCCTGCCACTAGGACAGCATTATTATTTTTTTTCTCTTAAGTGTTGCACCTACATGAATGTTATTACAGTACATTCATGTGGCACTTCTGACCAGCAAATCACAGAAGTAGCATCCTGTAATTTTATGCTAGATAGGCAAAATATTGAGTGTTTTATTATGCATGCATCTTTGGAAGAGGTGTGAAACAGTGGCTAGAGTATGTGCTGCTTTAGTCTCTCATTGTTAGAGCTGGCTAACGTCCAAGTGAATCTAGACAGGTGTCCAGGAAACTAAATTGACAGATACAACTTTGAGAGGATGAATTCTGCCCCAATTGTTTATGCTATTCAGTATAATTGAGCTGTTTTAATAGGAGCAATGGTAATCACAAAACTATTGTTGAGTATCAGCCCTGGCTGTCACACCAGATCCCAAAGATGCTTTCGTATCAAACTGTTATAGTGTGTGGAGTATGTGTGTGGTTTCCAAAAAATGAATCCTGCAAACCAGAAGCACTTTGAGATGTTTAAACATAACTTGCTTCAGGACCTGCCTACTCATAATGGTTTGAACTGCTTCTGGGTTGAGATGGGTAGGTGGATTGCATGAGCTGAAGAAAAATGTAACATTCTGTAATAGTCCATTATCAGATTGATAAAATTTTGTAGTTGTATAATCCTCTACAATAAATAAGAAATAGCCCCAGCCAGTGGTTTCTTGTCATTCATACCTTGTCCCTCGCCAATCACAATATAGTATAAAAAATTGTGACCCATCATAACTTATTAGAAACTGTATTTAGGCATCTTAAGAGCCAATTTGGTCCAGTGGTTAAATGGCGCCTTAATTTCTAGTTCTACTTATCATGAAAGCTAGACCTTAGGCTAGTCACTATCTCTTAGCCCAACTCACCTCACATGTGGGTTGTAGGCAAAAGAGGGAAGGAACATTAGTAGATGTGTTCATTGCCTCGACTTATTTGTAAAAAAAAGGCAAGATATAAATGTTACTATATTGTTACTAAATTTTAAAAGCCAGTGTTCTACCTAACTATTTTCTGAGCCTCACAAAATATTTTATACTGCATTACATAATGATACAGATGCTATGCTGTCAATAGTTTGAAAGACAATAATTGGCACTTTGAACTGGACTCAAAAGCTAGTGGTAAAATATGTGGCAATAAAACTAAGTGTTATTTCAGTCTAATGGAATTAACGTTATATATCTAGCTGCTGCATTGTATATTGGTACTCTGGGCCAGTCTGGAGCTGCTAACAAAATCCTTTGTGCAGTCCCAAAGCTCATGAGGTTCTGGATGGGCCAAAATAAATTCATATTAAATCTTTCCAAGATATTGCTAGCTATCAGTAGATATTGAGGTGACCTAATTGCATTAGCTCCTGTACTGTAGTCTATATGGGTTCAGGCACTTTCCCTGAAAAGAGGAAGAAAAAAAGATCTGTTCCAGCTGTCCAAGGCAGCCCGATGGAGAGAGTGTCCAGTAGCCTGGTTAATCGTGATCCAGGCATGAATTGATAGAGCATCTTGCTCAGGTGAACTTCCTGAAGCTGAAGATGGGCAAAAGCTTCCTACTCGTAGCTTCTACCTGCTGACTAAGAAGAATTTTTTTTCTTCCTTTTTTCAAGGAAGATTCCAAGTGAGATTATGAACTAGCACAAGCATGTCAAACTGCTGGCCCAAGGGCCAGATGTGTCACGCTGAAGCTATGCCCACCCCATTGCTGGCAATGGAAAAGTTGCAGTATGTCACGTGACATCACGTGACTTGAGTTTGACATGCCTGAACTAGCAAGATCAACTTCCATTTCATAATCAACTTTAAATCCTGGCTGAAAAGGCCTAAGATAATCCATTATATTTGTGGTCTTCTGTAGTTGATTTGCAATCATCTTCTCATCCCACCTTTACATGGAAATTGGAAGAACAATATTTTTTGGGTGGGGAGGGAATTCAGGTTCATGGTATACTACTGCCTCCTTAAACAAAAGTATCATTACACATTTTTCCAGAAATACATTACTTCCCCACAGCTAGCTTTGACCATGTACACAAACCATTGATCAAGTACACAAGTGGCAGCATTCAAACAGAGGACCTTAACGCATCTCAGATGCTACATGGATAAAAGAATTCAAATACAAAAGGCATTGCCTAGTTAACTACAGTGAAACATCCAACCTAGAATGGAATAGACAATTTGATCTGTTAAGGCAGAGGTCCCCAACCCTCAGTCTGTGGACCAATACTGGGCCGCAGCATGCCAGCAACCAGTCCGCACAAGCAAGCATAGTCTTATCTGGGAGATGCAGCAGCAGACAAAACCATACCCTGGTCCACGGAAAAAGCTCTCTCCATGTAACTGGTTGGGGACCTCTGTGTTAAGGAACCTGGCAATTCATCTGGTGTGCATGCAGGGATTTATTGTGTCCTGTTATCTTTATTCTGAAGAGAGTTGCCAGGAAACTGGACATCATAAGTGCAGAGAAATGATATTTTGCTGTTTTGACTGCCACTGTCTAGGCAAACATGAGCACTTAACCAGGTTCTGCTTCTGGTGTTCTGCCATTGTTATTTTAGGCATCTTCTCAGATATTTCTCTCAAAACCATTTCCTTTTACAAATTCCTCAAGCTATAATCAGAGCAAATGTAGTGGCAGTCTATATTGAAATAGTTACAGGATTTAAATCTAATAAGCCATACTTTTTTGAAGTCCATTTTTACAATTTTTTTATGGAAATTGTCAAATCTTTATTTAGATACACCTCCGATGTTTAATGTAAAATCAAACTGAAATCAAAAGGCCTTGCATGAGAAAAAGTCTAACGTTGAGCCTAAACATCATTTAAAAAGTTAACTTGTTAATCTTGCCCAACTGTTCAGCATGATCTTACTGAAATTGTACTGATTTATGTTTCAAATCTTAAATATTGATTCTAAGATTTAAATACAGGATGCATTCAGCTAACAGTAAATATTGCAGAGAAAGATAGACTGTTGTCTGCATGATGCATTGTGACAATTTCCTATTAGACTAGGGAGAATCCAGCTGTCTGTTTATGAAATTTCTTGACTTTATCTTTGTTTCTTGTTCCTTCCAAGGAGTTAGAATAACAAATCCAAATCATACACATGAAAGGCAGCATGTGGGCTATGTTACATAATTCCAGTTAGCACTACCACCTTATCTTCAAAATGTAGATGAGAAATAAATGAAACAAAATAAATTTTATTTAAAATCTAAAAGAAATATAGATGCACAACAGAGTGCATGCTGCTAATAATCAATTTTCCTGAGGATTTCAGAAGCCAAGGAAGCAATAACTTTATCCGGATGGATGCTGAGAGAGAAAAAGAGAAATGGTTATTGTAAATAAAAAACCTGGATAATTATTTAAGCAGATTTATTGAAAAATACAGACCTCATTTTAGCCATTTATAAAAAGATTTTTTATATTTTTGCCTCATTCTGGATATAGATACCTTCATTACCTCCTTAATCTTGCCATTTATTTGTTGAGAATCATTGTTTATAGAGAGCCATTTAGCCCTTCGTTTGCTCTATCAAGTTCATATACTCTACTGTAGGTCAGTTTAGCAACATCTGCCTTTAAGTTGGCTGATATGCATACTGGAACCATGGCTGCCATTTAATTCACATTTTCAGTACAGTAAAATTTTACTTGGTTTCAATCCAAAATTGGTAATATACAGATTGATATATAATATATTATGCTTGCATCTAATTAGATCTAGGAATTTCCTTGTGGAAGATGGCAACCACATTGGTGCAAAAGTCTGGCAAGTCATGACACAGGAGTAAATCAAACAACATTCCACAAAAAAAGGGAGCTTGAAGGAATCTAAGTTAAAGGCCACTATATATGATCATCATCAAAACAAAATTACATGATTGGCAAAATGTTCTGAAAAAGAGTCATTGCTATTTTAAGAATACCTGTTAACCAAAACTAAGAACTATGTGACATTTCAGATTACTTGTAGGAACCCAATAATGGAAACTTCCTTAAAACCAAAGAGCTTATGTTTTGAATTTTATGCTGAACTCTGGAACATCCTAGAACCATCATCATCTCAAATCTCTATATATACCATCATCTTGAATGATTAATTCAATATCAGATCATACAGTTATTGGCAATGAAAGTTTAAAAAAAGAATGTGACTGATTTGAAGTGAATAGAATAGCAGTCTGTTATTCTGCATTACACATCTGACATCAGCTACATTTAGATCATACTGAGAAGAAGCTATAGTTGCTATTTTGGAGGGTAAGCTTCGACAGCAAAGCTTTGTGGGAAGACAGTGGCAGAGCAAACAGAGCAACCCTTAAATGTATATGTGGCTTGTATTGAAGCATAATGTAGTCTTTGGAAAGAAATGTAACCAAGAGTTTAGAGTCTGCCTGATCAGATTAGGTATTTGGAAATGTTCCGAAG